CTGGATGATATCCTGCAGAGTGTTTTCCAACTTGGTTCCATTTTTCCCCTCACTTTCAGGCACACCAATCAGATGTAGATTTGGTCTTTTCACATAATCCCATATTTCTTGGAGGCTTTGTTCATTTCTTTTTACTCTTTTTTCTCTACACTTCTCTTCTCACTTCATTTTATTCATTTGATCCTCAATCACTGATACTCTTTCTTCCAGTTGATTGAGTTGTTTACTGAAGCTTGTGCATTTGTCACGTAGTTCTCCAGTTATGGTTTTCATCTCTATCAGTTCTTTTAAGGTCTTCTCTGCATTGATTATTCTAGTTATCCATTCATCCATTCTTTTTTCAATGTTTATAGTTTCTTTGCACTGGTTATGTAGTTCCTCCTTTAGCTCTGAGAAGATTGATCGACTGAAGCCTTCTGTCAACTCGTCAAAGTCATTCTCCATCCAGCCTTGTTCCATTGCCGGCGATGAGCTGCGTTCCTTTGGAGGGGGAGTTTCGCTCTGATTTTTTAAATTTCCAGCTTTTCTGTACTGCTTTTTCCCCATCTTTGTGGTTTTATCTGCCTTTGGTCTTTGATGATGGTGACGTACTGATGGGGTTTTGGTGTGGGTGTCCTTTCTGTTTGTTAGTTTTCCTTCTAACAGTCAGGACCTTCAACTGCAGGTCTGTTGGAGTTTGCTTGAGGTCCACTCCAGACCCTGTTTGCCTGGGTATCAGCAGCAGAGGCTGCAGAAGATAGAATATTGCTGAACAGCGAGTGTTGCTGTCTGATTCTTGCTCTGGAAGCTTCGTCTCAGGGGTGTACCCCACTGTGTGAGGTGTGAAGTGTCGGTCTGCACCTAGTGGGGGATGTCTCCCAGTTAGGCTACTCAGGGAACAGGGACCCACTTGAGCAGGCAGTCTGTCCGTTTTCAGATCTCAACCTCCATGCTGGGAGATCCACTGCTCTCTTCAAAGCTGTCAGACAGGGGCATTTACCTCTGCCGAGGTTTCTGCTGCTTTTTGTTTAGCTATGCCCTGTCCTCAGAGGAGGAGTCTACAGAGGCAGGCTGGCCTCCTTGAGCTCTGGTGGGCTCCACCCAATTCGAGCTTCCTGGCAGCTTTGTTTACCTACTTGAGCCTCAGCAATAGTGGGCACCCTTCCCCCAGCCTTGCTGCCGCCTTGCTGCCGCCTTGCAGTTAGATCTCAGACTGCTGTGCTAGCAATGAGGGAGGCTCCATGGGTGTGGGACCCTCTGAGCCAGGTGTGGGATATAATCTCCTGGTGTGCCATTTGCTAAGTCCCTTGGTAAAGTGCAGTATTAGGGTGGGAGTTACCCAATTTTCCAGGTGTTGTGTGTCTCAATTTCCTTTGGCTAGGAAAAAGAATTCCCTTTCCCCTTGAGCTTCCCAGGTGAGGCGATGCCTCGCCCTTCTTCAGGTCTCCCTGGTCGGGTTGCACCCATGGACCAGTGCCAACTGTTTGACACGCCCCAGTGAGAGGAACCTGGTACCTCAGTTGAAAATGCAGAAATCACCCATCTTCTGTGTTGCTCATGCTGGAAGTTGGAGGCTGGGGCTGTTCCTATTTGGCCATCTTGGGTGTGCCCCTTGTTTAAGTTCTTATAGATGCTGGATATTGGACCTTTTTCAGATGCATATTTTGCAACCGTTTTCTCCAATTCTGTACGTTGTCTGTTTACTCTGTTGAGTTTCTTTTACTGTACAGAAAGTCTTTATTTAGTTCTCAGATGTCAATTTTTTCTTTTGTTGCAATTGCTTTTTGCATCTTTGTTATGAAAGGTTTGCCCATGCTTAAGCCCTGAATAGTATTGCCTAGGTTGTCTTCCAAGGTTTTTATAGTTTTAGGTTTTACATTTGAAGAAAAGGGCATAATAATTTACTTAGTGAGTCCCAGGCAGTGATAATATATAGTTTACAATGCAGTTATGTCAATATGATTGCATGTTATTCCACCAAAGCTATTAGGTTTCCCAATGATAATATGCGTCATTTTCTTGCAGCACTGTTAAGTCTAGTTTACTTCAGTATTGAGAACGTCTTCAGAAAGGGGCCAGCTATATTGCCATTGATCCCCTAGTAGTCTATACCCAAAACCCCTTCTCCCTGTTGACTTTCTTATCTCTTGTTGCTAACTTCATACTGTTTCAGATACAGATGTAAGAAGTAAAAGGGTGCTGTTCTATATCTTTCAGACATCACAGAAAGCTGTTAAGTTTTGAGCAGCTTTGGTCATCTTTTGTTAAAATGTTATTTGACTGAAGTTTTAGGTTCACAGCAAAATTGAGAGGAAGGTACAGAGACATATACCCCTTGCCCTCACATAGGCATAGCCTCCTTCCTTATCAACACCCACCACCAGGGTGGTACATGTGTTATAGTTGATGAACCCACACTGACATATCATGATTATCCAAAGCTTATGGTTTACATTAGGATGTACTCTTGGTATTGTACATTACATGAGTTTTGAAAAACATATAGTATCATACAGAATAATTTCACTTCCTGAAAAACCCTCTTTTTATTCCCTAAACATCTGGTAACCACTGCTGTTTTTATTATCTATAGTTTGTTGTTTTCCAGCATGTCAAGTAGTTGGAATCATAGAGTATGTAGCCTTTTTAGGTTGACTTCCTTTACTTAGCGATATAGATTTATGTTTCCTTCATGTATTTTCATGGCTTGACACCTCATTTCCTTTATACCACTAAATAATACTCCATTGCCTGTATGTATCACAGTTAATTTATCCATTCACCCACTGAAAGGCAGTTTGGTTGCTCCCAAGTTTGGGTAATTATAAATAAAGCTGCTAAAGACACCTGTGTGCACTCTTTTGTATAAACAAAAGTTTCAATTCCCCTGGGTAAATAACAAGGAAAATGATTGCTGGTTCACACAGTAAGGATATTTTTAGTTTTGTAAGACACTGCTAAATGGCCTTCCAAAGTGGCTGCACCATTTTGTATTCTTATCAGCAATAAATGAAAGTTACTGTTGCTCCACATCCTTGTCAGCATTTGGTATTGTCACTGCTCTATATTTTGGTCTTTCTAATAGGTGTGTAGTGTTATTTCATTGTTGATTTATGTGAATTTCCCTAATGACATAGGATGTGGAACATCTTTTCATGTATCTGTTTGCTATTTGGATATCTTCTTTGATGAGGTATCTGTTAAGGTCTTTGGTTCATTTTTAAGTTGGGTTATTTGTTTCTTATTGTTGAGTTTTAAGAGTTCTTTGCATATTTTGGATAAAAGTCACCTGTAAGTTGTGTCTTTTGCAAATATTTTCTTCCAGTCTGTTGCTTCTTCCCTGTTCCCTTAACACTTTCTTTTACTGGGCAGACTTATTAATTTTAACAAAGTCTAGCTTATCAATTATCTTTTTTCATGGATTGTGCAGTTGGTGTTATGTCTAAAAAATCATCACCATACCCAAGGTCATATAAGTTTTTAACTATGTTATCTTTCAAGATTTTCTATAGTTTTGCATTTTACATTTGGTCTCATGATTCATTTTGAGGTTGTTTGTTTGTTTGTTTTTGTTTTTGTTTTTCCAAAAACTATAATGTTCTGTCCAAATTTCTCTTTTACTTTTTTATATGGGGTTGGTGGTGGGTACTGGGTATATCTAGTTGTTCCAGCATCATTTGTTAAAAAGACTAACTCTTCTCCATTGCATTACCTCCATATTTATGTGAGTCTCTTTTGGAACTCTCTATTCTGTTCTATTGATTTATTTGTCTATTCTTTCTCCAATACCACACTGTCTTGAACTATAACTTTACAGTAAGTCTTGACGTAGGATGATGTGAGTCCTCTAACTTTGTTGTTCTCCTTCAATATTGTGCTGGCTATTCTGGGTCTTTTGTGTCTTTACACACATTTTAGAATCAATTTGTTAATATTAAGAAAATAACTTGATTTGATTTTGTTTGGGATTGTGTAGAATCCATAGGTATATTTGAGAAGAACTAATATCTCAACAAATATTGAGTTTTCCTATCCATGAACATGGAATATCTCTTCATTTATTAAGATCTTCTTGGATTTTGTTCATCAGAGCTTTAAGTACTCTTTATATTGCTTTCAAACCCTGCATTCAGAGACTCATCCCGTGAACCTCAAACTTACAGTAATAATTGGATGTGAAATGGCTCTAGAGTTTACGCTGGCAAATCTTCCCAAACTTCAGGTTATTCAAGTCAAGCTCTGCCTTGAATGTTTGGTCATTTAAAGCTTCACTCAGATAGAAGTACCTAAGTTGGTCACAGGGACTACATCTCAGCATCCAGCTAGAGAACTATAGTTGAGTTTTACCTTTTTACAGAAATCTATATTTTTAAGAAATGATTCTCGTTGATGCACCCCCAATATAATTTGGTGTACTTACAGTGCTCTCTTCTTATCTCCTTGTGAATCTTGCAATTCTGTAACAGTTATAATTGCATCATATTCTCCCTAGTCTTCCTCATGTACAAATGGGTACATATTGGTGTCTAGGGTGATTTTTCTACCTTTTTAGTAAACCTAATAATTAGTGGCTCATTTTTAATTCTCTTTAGACTTTAAAATATCTATTTCCTTTTGCTTTGTTGTCATCTGATATTACTAAACAAGTGAAAAATATCCACTCCACACCTGTCACATATTGAAAACAATAGCCCAGTGAATATAACATTGACTTTATCATAGATAATTTTAAACGCTTTAACATCTTAAAAACATGGAATAAAAATTGTAATAACAGGTTTTATTATTTTGGAGGTTTATGGAAGTCCTGACTACCGGAAATTTCTAGTACCTAAGGTAAGTTTAGTTGTGGAAATGGTTATGTTAAGTATTCTTAACATGAATGAGTTGAATGCTAGGCAATTCTGAGAAGTACACATTTGTTAGGAAAACATCTCTTTGGTGTCCATAAGTTTTTATTATTTAAATTCCAAATCTACACATATCTGTGCATTTTACAACAGGGTATTTTTTGAAGTTGCTTTTTGGAACCTCGCCACATTATTCTAAATCAACAGCCAGTATCTATTTGCCTCTCATGATATGTGTAGCAATTATTCTTTAAACTTTTAACTTAGAGAGAAACTGCTTTAAGTACAAGCAATATAATATAACACAAAGTTTGGTAAAGAGATTTTTTTTTCATTTTTTCCCCTGGGAATTCAGTACCATTCTGGAATCCCAGGCGATTGGAGTCTGAGAATATTTGGAAACATTACTTCTGGCCAAAGCATTGATTTTGTAATAGTCTACTGAGTAAACAGCAAGAGCAAAGCTTTTCTATGTGGCTTTGCAAAGCAGCCAGGGTTTAGATATATGGGTACATGCACAGGTGTGTTACATGGGTATATTGTATGACCAAACTTATAAATCTTTCATTGAACATTTTTAAAAACAAAACAAAAGTTTGACGTGTAATTCAGTAATGCACCATTTTTCACTTGATTGTTTTTGCCCAATATGACAAATGTTTTCTTCAGTATGGTGCAAAGTTAATTATTTGGTATAAGTGTGAATGAAGATAGGCCAAATATATTTTGTAACATAGTTTTTTATTGGAAATAATTAGAGATTTATTTTACTTGTTTTAAATGTAGGTGTAGCCAAAGGAAGATTTTTTTTAAAGAATAGATTTTGGCCTGGTGTGGTGGCTCATGCCTGTAATCCCAGCAGTTTGGGAGGCTGAGGCGGGCAGATCACCTGAGGTCAGGAGTTTGAGACCAATATGGTGAAACCCCGTCTCGACTAAAAATACAAAAATTAGTCTTAGTGGCGGGTGCCTGTAATCCCAGCTACTCGGGAGTTTGAGACAGGAGAATTGCTTGAACTCAGGAGGCGGAGGTTGCAGTGAGCCGAGATTGTTCCACTGAACTCCAGCCTGGGCGACAGAGCGAGACTCTGTCTCAAAACAAAACAAAGCAAAAACAAAACAAAACAAAATTAGATTTTAACCTATTATACTGTTATTTAGTTTCCTGGGAAAATAAGGGTTAAGGAATTTTCCTTCAACTTCTACAAATATAGGAAGCTTTTCTTTTTCTTTTCTAGAAAGAAGTAAAATTAGGAAATGATGAACCTTCCTATCTAGCTGTTTGTTAAGGCTTCTGTACATGCATTGGTTGACCTGAAACTCCAAGGGCCTTTTCAAGGTGTTTTTTTTTTTTTTTGCCTCCAAAGACTTATTAGAATTTTTTGAATTATTCCCACTGTGCTGATTTGTAACTGTTTTAAAGTTTATATTTATTTATAAAAGTTGCTTCTGCAAAAAAGATAGTGTAAGGAAATAAAGGGAGTTATTTACACAGTTCTGTTTGCTCATTACAAAACACTTCGAAGTGTCATGTTATTTCTCGATATTAAAATTACCTCAAAAATTCCAAGAATAAACAATCCCAGGGAATAAAAAAATTGCTTACTTCTTCCTGACAGTAGCCATGTTAGACATTATAAGGCACCACTGACTGAAATAATACATGAATCATGACGTTGTTTACAATGTTCTCATAGTAAAATGAACCAATAGCCAAACAACTTAGGGTATAAGACAACAACAAAATACATGCCAATTATCAGATGAATTTGATGTATTTAATTATTTAAAAATATTATTATGGAAATAAGTTTAAAATATTAACATTTTAAAAATCAGTTAAAAATAAAATTTAAAAATCATGTAAGTTTCATGAGCATGGTACATTTCTCTCACCAGTACTGAACCAAAATCTATCCCACAAAAAATACAAAAATATTATAGGGCAAATTAAAGTCTGTGTTCTTCACACAGCCTGGCATGTTAAAAGTTGCAATTCCAAGAGACTTGATCAGTGTGTCCAGTAGCCCCACCACAAAATATCTATTATTGAGAAATGCATATTCAATTGCAAATATGACTTACAGGAAATATAGATAATTGTATGAACATTCTGTATTTCCCCTGTGAGATAAAAGCAGTTGTTTAATTAACCATCGTCCTTTCTAGTGATCCAGGGATCATTTCCCCAAAGCCAGTCACACTTTTAAATGCTATTACTAAAATGTAGCAACCATGTAGTGCCAGTGCAAGGCATGTTAGACTGTCTAAGGTATTAACTTCATTAGGAAGATTTGAGCTATCAATAGATTTCAAGATCAGTGAACATTTCTCTGAAAATACTGCATATCTTTAAAAAATCATTAAATTTCTAATTACAGAAGAAATATGAGGTTTCATTTGGTAAGATACATCCAGATTTTTTTTATGATGTTATATTTCTCAATTTTGTTAAACATCTCCATTTATCTGTACATCTGTGTATTACAAAAGCATTCTCTGAAAAATAAATAATGAAATATTAATTATCAGAAAAGGAATAATTTTATACTTCACTAAATAAAAGAAAACAAATAATGAGACCTTCATTCTGGAAAGCAACAGAATGCTAAAGAAGAGAGTATTAATAAAACAGTAGCTATGTAATAAAGAAGTGCTGTGGTTTATAACTACACAAAGTACTTTTAATTTAGGTACTATGGCAATTTATTCATTTACATGTAGGATTGTTAAAAGTGCTGCTCCATTTAGATAAATTTCATAACAATCTCAGATTCCTGTTGTACTCCAAATACTGAAGATATAATTGCATTCATCCATAATAATTTTATGAGAAAACATATATTTATTAAAAAGTTAGCTAAAATAAGAGGTAAAGTCTATTTTCTAAAAAAAAGGCCAAAGTTGGCCTGCTTAATGGGACATGAAAAAAACTATTTGGCCTCATTAAAATATTACCAACTAAATTAGTGAACTTAATTAAATGACATCAAGTTATCAAAATGCCATGCGACAAATAAGACAGTACATTCTCTAGAGTGATGTAGTAATCGTGGCAACTCAACATCGGTTTGCAAGTTTTTTTTTAAATCAGTATAAATTTGTGGTAGTGACTGCAACATCACTGCTGATTAATCTCTTTGTTTAGCGAATATATGCAAAGTAATCTGTAGGCTTTTTAGGATATAGAAAGACTGAGAGGAGTATTTAGAGGTACATCATATGACATTATAAACCTCTAATTGTCTAAACTTTTATTAAAATTTAAATGCCTCCAGGAAAGATGAAAAATGTGCAATGGTAATTATTAAAAATTCAAGAAACTGACCATTTTTGGATATCCTTATTCATATTTCACATGGATTGTACACTATAGAACTTATTACTCAATGAAAAGCCATTCATCCTAGTATTGCTTTCTGCCACTGTTAATATCAGAATTCTGAGAGGCAGTTGGTTGAGGCATTTTAGGATGTACTAGATATTGTAACTACTATAAAATCTTGATGCCTTCATCAACTCCTATATTTTTTCAAAACAAAATATGACATAATTTTAGACCCATAACAAGTTTAGAATTGTCCCAAAATGTAGGTAAGCATGATAATGCATATGAAGTTTTTCATAAGTTTTGATGAATATACCAGGAATATGATGTTTCTAATCCTGATGACAAGAATGATAGTGAAGCTGGTTTTGCAATAGCAGTGAGAGAGTAATGGTTGTAATCACTGTCACATGTTACCTATTATTTTGGGACTTACAAGGGCATGGGAAGCCTGAAATCACCAGAGTTGTTCCTTTCCTTTTGCTACTGAGGACATTCCTTTGAGAACTTACAATATGGAAAATACACAGGTAAGATGTTACATATCTTAAGAGTAGAATTAAAACATAGAATTACTTAAATGAGCCACAGTTTAGAAAGATTCCGTACACCGTAAATTTTTACCTACTCACTTCAGGAGGGGATATCTATTTGAAATTATTTTGACTATAAAATGAAATATGCATTTTTGGAATTAAATTTAAAAAGTATATAAAATAATTGATACAATATTTACCCAACTCCAATTTTGAAAGAAATTATTTTTCTAACACATGCTCCTGTAATTGCTAAATTTTGGTACTAAGAATGGCCTCCTGTAAAGAAAAAATTTGCATAATTTAATGTTGGCCAAAATATTTTGTTCCAAGTAAGATAGAGCATTTGAGTTCATAATAGTTGAATTAGTGCTTTTGTGACTGGATCAGCTGACGTACAAAAGTAAGTGTATGTACCCTACTTCTGATAATGAAGTTCTAAAGAAGATGGACAGTCATGAGAGGAGCTATTTTAAGGGAGAAAAGTTGAGATGAGTGTTGGGAGGATACTTCTCTATTGTAAATCATATTTGCTTGGAAGTTTTAAAAAAATATAACTTAAAAAATGTAACTGTAACTCTGTGTATACTAAGAAATGGGGGCGCAGTGAAGTTGAATTATGGTTCAAAAGACAATATAAAAATGTCATAAATTATTAGGCTCATGGAGACTACAGAGAAGCACCAAAATCATAAGCATATATTATGTTTATTTATTAAGTTTCTTGTGTATGTGTGTGTGTGTGTACTGAGCATGTTGGTATATGTATATATAGTGGATGAATGGTGTAAAATGCACTGTATTTAGTAGAAATGTGATTAACATAATTTAATATTAGAATGTCAAACTAGCCCATTATTTATCTTTATTGCATCCTGAAATCACTTAAAAATTAGTACACTATTCTATTTTAATTATCTATCTACACTCTTTCTACTTTATCCTATAAAATAGCACGCCTATGATGAGGAATACGAGTGCAGACTATGACTACTCGTGAGAGAAAAGTTACATCTAGGTGGTAAACAATGAGTAAGATTTATACAAAATGTTTATTTTTCCTTAATTTTATCTTATTGTAAACATCATTTCTGCTTCAGAGAAACAGAATGGTGAGACAACT